AGGCCACCAAGCAACAAGTCCCTTCTAGCTTCTTCCTTCTGCCAGATGGGCCGTGGGGCCAGAGCATGGGGATGCAGGGTGGGGGTCAACACCCTGCCTTGGGGTGATGAAAGGGAGTAGATCCAAACTCAGGCTTCCCAAACAAACAAACAAACAAAAAAAAACAGATGGAAGCAGGGTAGAGACCAGGAAGGACTTCCAGGCCTCTCTTAAATCACACCTCAGAGCAAATCTGACGGTACTATTGCCAGAAGGCATTTGCAGAACCAGGTGGAGGGAGTTAGTGTCAGGGTGACAAGATGAGAGGCTTTTTTGGGAACTAGAATAAAGCAACTGTGTCTGGGGAGTGAACGGGAGGGGACACTGGAGTCAGGACACAGAGTTGTTTCCTATCCCGATATTCATAATCCTGAATACTCCCCACCCCCACCTGGGGGACATCTTCCCCTCCCCTAGTACCCAGCCTGCATCCATGTTGAGGGGGAGTACACACAAATTCCTTGTCCATTTTGCACTTAAACGTTCAGCTAATAGTTATAACATGCATATTATTTTATTTTTCATGATTTAATTTTAAAACAACAACTCTGTCTCCCAATCAACTTTTTTGGCCGTGAGACCAGCGTTGGGCCAGGGCTGGACCTCTCTAATCACACCTTCAACAGAGCCTGGCCTCAGCCCGCCCTTTGCTGGCTCTCCCAGGTAACCTTCCTGGTCTACCTGCACACTCAGGGCAAGTCTAGGCCCAGCACGCCCTCTTGTGGTCTTGGGCATGTGACCCTGACTCTTGCACCGACCTGGGAGAGGTCTCGCCAGGAATGCCCATCCATTTCTGGGGGAGCCACAGGAGAGGGCCCCAGTTCTAGGCAAGCTGGAGAAATTAAATTTTAGTTTCAGGCCATTTTGGGGTCTTTTAGCCCCTGCTCCCCATCAAAGGTCAGACCTGACCACGGAACCCCAGGTGAAGTCTGGCTTGGGTCTGCTCAGGTGATGCTGTGACTGCAGCTCCCAGCCTATTGTGCTGTCCTATTTCTGGACAGCTCTGCCAGTTTAAATGTCCTACCTCCCATAAAGCCTTCTGGAGCTGCATGCCAACCCTACATTCACACCTGAGGGAGATCAGTGGCCATTCATCTATTTACAGCAGGATGGAGCACCCACTGGAGCTGTATTAGGCTATAGCTAGTAACAGACACTGTCCCTACCCTCAGGAAGCTTACAGTGGGTTGATGCTTTCTTCATCCTGTGGCATGAGCTCTAACAGGAAGGCAGAGAGTGCTAGGGAGACCTGCTGTGAGCACACCTTCATCAAATCTGGGGACATTGGGGAAAATTTCTTGGAGGAAGGAACATCAAAACTGAGGTGCTCAGCTAGGATGGGAAAAGCAAAGGGAGCAAACATATGCCACAAGGGTGAGTGGAACATTTGGGGAACCCTGTGAAATTCAGAAAAAAACTGAGAACAAGAGGTGAAAAAGCATGAGAGTGAGGGTGATGGTGTCCACATGAGGACCTTGAATCTGCCCCGACTCAGGTGGAAACAGTTCACCAGTTTGGGAACAGATGACTTGCAACACACATCACAGCTGATCGCAGCATAGCCTGGAGTAGTGATTCCGAAGTTGGGAATTGCTGGGGAGGAGGATGCCGGCAGAAGGTTTGTCACTGAGGGAGAGAGAAATAGAGCAGAGGTAGAGAGGGACTTAGGTTTGAGATATTTTTATTTTGCTCTTTTTTTTGACTGGGGGTCTCACTCTGTCACCCAGGCTGGAATGCAGTGGTGTTCTCGTGGCTCACTGCAGCCTCAACCTCCTGGGCTCAAGTGATCCTTCTGCCTCAGCCTCTCGAGTAGCTGGGACTACAGGCGTGTGCCACCAACCTGGCTAATTTAAACATTTTTTTTTTGGTACAGATGAGGTTTTACTATGTTACACAGGCTGGTCTTGAACTCATGGGCTCAAGGAATTCTCCTTGCTTGGCCTTCCAAAGTGTCGGGATTACAGGCATGAGCCACTGTACCCAGCACTGTTTTGTTCTTTTTCTTTTTTTTTTTTTGAGTTGGAGTCTCACTCTGTCACCCAGACTGGAGTGCAGTGGCACGCTCCCAGCCATCACAGCCTCGACCTGCTGGGTTCTGGCGATCCTTCCATTTCAGTCTTCCAAGTAGCCAGAACTGCAGGTGCTTGCTACCACACCTGGCTAATTTTTTTGATTTATTGTAGCGATGAGGTCTCATCAAGTTGCCCAGGTGGGTCTTGAACCCGCGGGCTCAGGCAATCCATTCACCTTGGCCTCCCAAAGTGCTGGAATTACAGGCTGAGCCAATGAGCCCAGCCTGGCCCCAGCTCGGTGGCTCAGCCTGTAATCCCGCACCCTTGGGAGGCTGAGGTGAGCAGATTGCCTGAGCCCACAGGTTAGAGACCCGCCTGGGCAGTGAGACCTCATCTCTACAATAAATCAAAAAATCTACAATAAATCAAAAACTACAGGTGGGCATGGTAGCGCACACCTGTAGTTCCGGCTACTTGGAAGGCTGAGGTGGAAGGATCGCTGGAGCCCAGCAGGTCGAGGCTGTGGTGGCCGGGAGCGGCCACTGCACTCCAGTATGGGCAACAGAGTGAGACTCCAACTCAAAAAAAAAAAAGATAGGAAAGATTTGAATTTTCTCAGGGCCAATGGGGAGGAAGCAGGAAAGAGAGAGATGGAAGAGAAAGAGAGGGGACAATTTCCCCAGAGAGGTGGGTCCCAAGGAAGGGAGGTGGGCTGGAATTCAGAGCCCTGGGGTCAGGAAGAAGGGCTGTTATGATTTCTGTCATGATGGGGAGCCAGGCAGCTCAGGGGGTGGTGTGGTGGTCCTCGCAGGCTGCCTGTCTCCTGCAGTGTTGGAGAGGAGGGAGCTGGAGTGGAATGTTTCTACATCCTGTCTCTCCTTGCTTAGGAATAGGGACTGCTTCACAGGGTGACATGCAGCAGAAGCCAGGGCCATCCCAGGGGGTGTGGACACTGCACTGAGAGGCAGAGTCCTGAGCCTGCCTGGGCCCCATCTTTCCCTTGCTCCACCAGAAGCCCCTTTTCCACAGGGAAGTTCTGTATTTAGTCCCTGCCAAGTGAGCCCATGCTTTCCATCCCTGCTTTTGACAACTTCCCTTCTACCATCAAACCTTTTAGGTCCCCAGCTGGGACCACTGTGGTTACAGTCAGGGCCTATGCAGGAAAACAGAATCAACTCAGCGTGCCTTATTATTATTACTATTGAATTTTTTTGAGTCGAGGTCTCACTCTTTTGCCCAGACTGGAGTGCTGTGACACAATCATTGCTCACCACAGCCTCGACCTCCTGGGCTCAGGCAATCCTCCCACCCCAACCTCCTGAGTAGCTGGGACTACAGGCATGTGCCACCACACTCGGCTAATTTTTTTGAATTTTTTGTAGAATTGGGGTCTTACTATGTTGCCCTAGCTGGTCTTGAATTCCCGGACTCAAGCAGTCCTCCCACCTCAGCTTCCCAAAGTGTTGGGATTACAGGCGTGAGCCACCACGCCCAGTCACAGTGCCTTTAATGATGATGTCACTTATGGGCAGAAGCGTGAGCAGACTTAAGGGAACCAGCACCAAGAGGAGTGGCACTGAAAAGCCAGGTCTGAAGAGGTAAGAGAGGGAGGCAGTGGGACAGGAGTGAAGGAGGTCTGGAGCCTTCAGGGAATGAGGCCAATGCCACAGGTGTGGTGCAGAAACAGCGAGAACCAGGGAAATTGAGCCCCACTGCTCTCTCATTCTACCTCCCATCTGAGGCACTTCTCATTGGCTGAAGTCAGAAGAGGAAGCCCAGTGATGCAGAGGCCAGCCTCCTCAAGCACATGCCAGGGTGGAGGGAGGAGAGGGGAACAGCCAGCTCAGCTGTCCCCTGGCTACAGCCAAGAGTTGATACTGAGAATATGCTCTGGAATGCTATCATGTTCTCTCTGGTCAGAAGGCGACTATTTAATGATAATACCAAATGATGGCAGGTGTGGTACCTAATTTTATATGCCATCTGGCTAGATTCTGGTGTCCAGCTGTTTGGTCAAACACTGGTTCTTCTGTGAAGGTATTTTGTAGATGTGATTCACCTTTACAATCAGTTGACATTTTGTTTTTTTAGAGGCAGGGTTCTCCCTCTCTGTTGCCCAGGCTGGAGTGCAGTTGTGCCATCATAGCTCATTGCAGCCTCAAACTCCTGGATTCAAGGGTTTTCTTAGTAGCTAGGACTACGGGCATGAGTCACTGTGCCTAGCTAATTTTTAAATATTTTTGTCAAGACAGGGTTTTGCTATGTTGCCCAGGCTGGTCTTGAACTCCTGGCCTCCAGTGATCCTCCTGCCTCACTCAGCTTCCGAACATGTTGGGATTATAGGTATGAGCCACCATGCCTGGCGTCAAGCAGTTGACTTTTTATATATATATATTTGTGGGGTACAAGTGGGGATTAACTACATAAGTAGGTTGCATGCAGGTGAAGTTTGGGCTTCTAGGTGGTCCTGTCTCTCTGATAGTGGACCAGATACTCGGTATGTTACCGTGTGCCCCCCGCCACCCTCCCTCTCCTAGCAGTGACCAGCATCTGCTGATTCTGCCCTTGAAGCCATTGACTTTAAGTGAAAGAGATTATCCTCATAATGTGGGGGGGGGGGGCTTATCCGGTTAGTTGAGGGCCCTAGGAGCAAGCATGGAGGTTCCCTGAAGAAAGAATCCTCAAGACTATAACATAGAAATCCTGTCTGAGCTTCCAGCCTGCTGCCCTGCCCTACAAATCCCAGACTCTGGACTACAACATCCACCTTTGCCTGAGCTGCCAGATTGCCAGTCTGCTAGGATTTTTGACTTGCCAGACCCCCAAATCCAGTAAGCTAATTCCTTAAAATAAGACTTTCTCTCTCTTTCTGTACATATAAAGGGGGACCCCCCTAAAAAAACCCCAGAGGGCTGGGTTTCTGGTCTTCCGGGAGGGCACTTTGCTTACTTTCACAAAGAGGACCAATCGAGAACCTGCTCCTGCCAACTCTGGTCCCAGAGAAGCTTTGGACACTCTGTCCCCCTACATTCCACACTCTGTCCACATTCTGTACACCTCCTCGTCCCATCCAGTCCATGTCGCCCTCCTGTGGGTGAACTGCGCTGCCTGAGATTCTAGCTGGCCCACCTGATAAAGCCTTTTGGGATAGGAGGCAGCACAGGGTAAGAAGCCCAGGGGGTCAGATCTAACCCCTGAAATTCTGTTCTAGCTAGCTGTCTGAACTTGGGCACGTCACAGAATTTTATAGGTGAACCACATCTATAAAATGCTACAGAATCAGTATGAGGAGCCAATGGGCTAATTTATATGAAGACACTTTGTTAAGCCCTAACATGCACAGAGAAATGAATACTGATGTTACCTCTCATTGATGTTTTTTAAATTTTTATTTTTTATTTAGAGTCAGGGTCTCACTCTGTCACCCAGGTTGGAGTGCAGGGGCATAATCACAGCTCACTGCAGCCTTGACCTCCCGAGTTCAGGCTATCCTTCTGTCTCAACCTCCCGAGTAGCTGGGACTACAGGCATGCTCCTGCCACGCCTGGCTAATCACAGGTGTTTTCACATGGCCGCAAAGGCCCCCTGAGGATAGGAAACTCTTATCTCAGCATTTCTCAAATAGTTGACCATCTACATCTATCTTAACAAGTCCCAAGTAGTTCTGATGGGAATCTAAGCAGAGAAATGACTCATGGCGAAATGTCAGGCACAGTGATTGTGAGGCCGAGGTGGGTAGGAACATAGTTTGAAATAGTGGACTATTACTTGGCCCCTGGAATGTGGCCCCTACAGGAGGCATCCATTTTGCAGAATGTGAAGTCAGCCCCAACGTCTCAGGGAATCTTAATTGTCACCCCTGTCCCCTAAGATCAGGAGGGGACCCAGGATAGGGATGTCTGTAGTGATGGTGTCCAGAGCCCCCTCACTGCAGGGGACAGGAGGACTTGGAGATGCTAGTCAAGGATGGTCAGAAAAACACACCAAGTCTTGAAAACATTGCTTTTTTGTTTCTTATTTTTATTTTTATTTTTGAGACAGAGTCTCACTCTGTCGCCCAGGCTGGAGTGCAGTGACATGCTCACGGCCACTACAGCCTCGACCTACTGGGTTCAGGTGATTCTTCCACCTCAGTCCTCCAAGTAGCCGGAACTACAGGCACATGCCACCACCCCTGGCTAATTTTTTGATTTATTGCAGAGACCAGGTCTTGCCAGGTTGCCCAGGCTGGGCTCGAACCCTTGGGCTCAGGCAATCCTCTCGCCTCTGCCTCCCAAAGTGCTGAGATGATAGGCATGAGTCATCATGCCTGGCCAACATTGCTTTTTTAAAAAGCATTATTTTTGGAAGTCAATAGGGAGGGTATATGGAGGATGTGGGGACTCCACCTCCAGCACTAAAGGCACACACATAGGGTGGGAGAGGCCTCTCCAGGTATCCCCTCCCCTGCCTGGAGCAGCAGTTGGAGGTTGGGGCTCAGGACGGAGGTCCCAGATTTGATAGGAGGGAAGGAGGGAAAGGCCTCGGGTGGGGGCAGCTCCTCCCCTCATCCCCCAGCGAAGTTGAAGTTGGTCCTTTAAAACAGGTTCAGACAGGAGGCGGGCCCACCTGGAAGGAACCTCCCCACCGACTGCAGCTTGACCAAGGCCAAGCAAGCCTGGCTTCCACCACCCTCTGGCCTGCACAGGGGCAGCAGCAGCCCGTTCTGGGAAACAGAGAAAAGGGAACCCCTGCAAACCTCTCTCCCTCCAAGGAAGGATCCAATGCTCCCTCTCTTCTCCCTCCTAAGAAAGTTGGGTCTCCTGGGGTCTTCTGGGGGGCCCACAAGACTTTTCCTAGTCCCTGAAACACTCCTGCCTCCACCTCGTCAAACTGTTACCCTCTACCAGCCTCACGTCATGCCCCTCTTTCCAAGAAGCCTTCCCCACTAAATGCAGCCTGCACAGCCCTGCTTCTCAAACTCTCCAGCACCCTGCCCAGCCCTTCCTATTATAGCCTCTTTATGCTGGAAGATGCTTTGGAAGTGAAGAATCTTCCAGATGACTGACCTAGTTGTCCCAGATTTACAGATGTGGGAATGTCTGTTTTTCTAATAGTAACAATATTAATAACAGCGAGCACAGGGAGCACTCCCTATGTGCTAGGCACTTGAGATGCAAGAATTCACTTGAGTCTCACCAGTAGGCTCATTTTATAGTTGGGGAAGCTGGGGAGCAGAGAAGTAAAGTAACTTGACCCAAGGCTGCACAGCAAGTAAGTAGCAGATTCCAGATCTGAAGTCTGGTTCCAAGACTCAGTCTTATACTTTGTCTTAGTATCGGCTATTACTGACTGGCTTACTATAGTTGCATCTATGTTTGTCTTTTTTTTTGAGTCAGAGTCTCACTCTGTTACCCATGCCAGAGTGCAGTGGCATGCTCATGGCCACCGCAGTCTCAACCTGCTGGGCTCAGGCGATCCTTCCACCTCAGCCTTCCAAGTAGCTGGAACTAGAGGTGTGCGCCACCATGCCTGGCTAAATTTTTGATTTATTGTACAGAAGAGGTCTCGCCAAGTTGCCCAGGTTGGTCTTGAATCCCTGAGCTCAGGCAATCCTCTGGTCTCCGCCTCCCAAAGTGCTGGGATAACCAGTGTGAGTCAATGCGCCCAGTTTTTTTTTTGAGATGAAGTCTCACTATGTGTGCAGGCTGGTCTTGGAACTCCTGGACTCAAGGGATCTTCCTGCCTCGGCTTCCTAAAGTGCTGGGATTACAGGTATGAGCTATCACTCCCTACCTGTCTCATCTTCTTGAGTGCAGAAGTTTTATCATAGCCTTCCTTAATGACATAATTTCCCTCTTCCTCTCTCAAGTGGTGGAGCACACAGTAGATGCTTTAGAAGTTGTTCCTAAGATCGCTCATTGATCGAGTAAAGAGACACTTCTGACACCAGGTGGCAGCATTGGCCAAAAGTTTGTTCTGAACGCCCAGTCTAGAGTTGTCAATCAAGTAAAAACTTAAACTTTTATTTCTGGTACAAATGATAAATACTTTGCATTAAAAATCTGGAATTCAAGTTTTCCTCGTACTTCATGCTCCCTCCCTGTCCCAGAACCTTACAAAAATATTTCTTTTTAGAGGGAGAAAGAGCTGGCGTCTGCTCTGGCCGCAAAGTCCAGGTCTGGGGAAAGGCACAGGTGGTCTGTCTCAGTGGTGGGAGGTCTACATCCACCCCCGGTCGGCCCTGGGGCCAGAGTGAGAAGAATGTGCTGTAATTGTCCAGGGGCAGTAGCCTCAGTCCCTAACAGCTCCCTCTCTGGGGGTTATGGTCCTTATTAGGAAGTGGGAAGGTACTGAGGGGTCAGCGCCTTCCCAATGTGTGTGTGGGGGGGAGTTGCGTGTGGGGAGGTGGGCGTTGCAGGCATAGACTTCTTTCAGGGTCTACACCTTTAAACAGTTCAACAGAAAGCTCATAGGCCATCACATTTTGGCACTTTGGAAGTGAAACCTTCAGGGGAGAGGCAGGATGGGAGGGCTGCAAGTCTGGAGGGAGTCCCTTTCCCTGTCTCTGCCCCAAGGAAGGCACAGGGTGGGGGTGGGGCCTGCCTTCATGAGTTAGTGACCCCCTGCCATGCCATACCCCTTTCACAGTCATGGCAGATGGAGTCCGAGGGGTCAGAGGAGCAGGAGGGAGGGAACTAAGGCCTCAGATGGGGGTTGCCACCTCCACTGATGGCTGGGGAAGGGGCAATGGGCCCACAGCAGCCATCCCCAGGGCCTCCCCACCCCCTAGCAGGGCTAGGGGTCCTCATCCCAGAGACACAGCTGCCTCTGCGGCACATAGAAGTCGAAGCTGTAGCTCTTCTGGCAGCTGCGGATGCCACACTTGTAGGGCGCAGGCCGGTCACGGCTGTGGCAGTATTTGAGCATGCAGGGGTACCAGGCCAGGCTCAGCCCGTAGCGGCAGACACAGGGCTTCCCTCGGTCCCCCACCTGCCTGCAGCGAGGAAGCACCGCCTGCTCAGAGGCCTTGGGCAGAGCCTCGAACACAGAGCTGTCCACACCTGGAGGAGAGAGGAAAGGGTCAGGGAGGGAGGAGGGAGAAAGGGAGGGGGCGCCCTCAGCCACCTGCGGCTGCTGTTCTCTGCTGGGTCTTCTCAGTCATACAACAGGCATTCATAGACACCTCCATTCCCAGGGCTGCCACTAGGGTGCAGAGGTAAGACCTGGGCACCAGGCTCCTCGCCAGGTCAGAGGGAGAGATGGATTCAACAACAAGCACTCTCACCTAGGGCATCCCAGCTGCATGCCAGGGACTCTACGTACAGCACCGCTTTCTGTCACCCCAGGAGCTAAGGACCATCACCTATGTTCTACTGCTGAGAAAATCGGCCCAGAGAAGCTGAACGGTCTGGCCGCAATTACACAGTAAGAGTGAAGTCAGGAACGGAACCCAGATCTGCCTGACTTCAAGGCCTCTGCTCATCCATGCTGCTGCCTGATGCTTTAAAAAATCACCATCCTTGAGTGTGCTGCAATAGAGATGTGGGGAGCTGGGGTAGAAGTAAGTCTTCTTAGGAAAAGTGGTATTTGAGTAGGACTGGGCAGGAAAAGGACAGCACATGGTTGTAGCTATTCAGTGAGAAGAAACAGCCAGAGAACAGGAACCCATTCCAGGCAGGGACACACAGACTCTGCTAGGACTTGTGGAGGGAGATACCCAGATACTTCCCCTCATCCTTGCCCTTAGTGAGGATGCAGGGAGGGGACCTTCTATCATGGGGGAAGGGAAATGGGCATCAATTTCTCCCCTGTCCACCTTTACTGCTGCATCTCAGAAATTAGCTTCACTCCTTTCTGCCAGCATCTCTGGCAGGAAGGAGGTCAGGGTGGCCAGGGCTTGGGGCAGACAGGAGAATGAGCCTGTGAGGGGTGCCAGGGAAGAGGGCACGGAACCGGCTGGCTTGGTTCAGTGGCTGTGGGAGGGACCAGCTTTTGGGAGGTGCACATAGCAAGCTTGCCCCTTAGTTTGGGGTGCAGGCTACTGGGGAGTATACGTGTGTTTGCCTGTGTGTGTCCGCATGTGTGAGGGTCATAACCACAGCTCTGTTGGGTACTTCTCAATCCAGGCCTGCCTTGGGAGGGGCAAGCATTTCTCTAGTGCACAGCTGGCTGTGCAGAAGGCTCAGGGGCCTGGAGTTGGAATGGTGACATATCTCTGTTTCCTTTACACAGCAGACCTGAGGGTGGACTTGGGAAAAGCACCCAGGTGAGTCGGCATTGAAGTCACAGAGGTCAGTAAGGCACATAGAGTTGGGAGGAGTTCCTGAGGATCTTGGGGAGAGATGCTGGCAGGAAGAATGAAGCTAATTTCTGAGAGGCAGCAGCAGAGGTGGGCAGGGGAGAAATTGATGCCCGTTTCCCTTCCCCCATGATAGAAGGTCCCCTCCCTGCATCTTCACTAAGGGCAGGGATGAGGGGAAGTATCTGGAAATATCCCTCCACAGGGCCTAGCAGAGTTTGTGTGTCCCTGCCTGGAATGGGTTCCTGTCTGCTGGCTGTTTCTTCTCATTGAATAGCTACAAAGGCACCACTTCCTCCAGGAAGCCTTCCCTGACTAATTATAGCCTGGTTTAGCCGCCCCCCTCAAACACCTGTAGCTCATCGTTAAACTCGATCACATTTAACGTTGTAAAGGTCTACCCCCAGTCAACTTCTGGGATACAGGAACTGGGTGTCTCATGCCTGATTGCTGTGTGGATACATCTCTGTACGTGCTCAGTAAATGTCTCGTGAACAAACAGAAAGTCCACTCAGCTATGATACTCCCTCCCTCCTCTGCTGCTCGATGCTGTCTCCCCTGTCTCCCTCCCTCTGACCAGCAGTAGGCAGCACCCAGCACCCAGCTGACCTTGCTCCAGCCAGAACCGGACGTCCTCCTGGCGGGTGTAGATGGCATCCACGGCCTCAGCACACACGTTGTGGAGATGGGGGCTCAGCAAGCCCCCCTGGCTGAAGTTGACGGCAACGTCCATGTGCAGCTGCTCCAGGCCCCGGACCTCCTCGGCCTGCCGCACTGCCCGTGGATTTTTCTGTGTGTGGGAGAAAGCCACTCTTACCTAGCCTCACGTCAGGATGTTCCTGCCTGTCTTCTCCTGATCCCTGAGAGTCAGGCAAGCCCAGGCTGGCTGCCTTGAGAACTTCAGGGCCATCTGCAGGGTGGCAGTTGAGGGACACCCAGCTCCACCCACCTCTAACCACTGATGTCCAGAGTGCAGTCAAGCCTTCTAAGCTTCCACCCAGAATGGATTGCTCCCAAGTTATTTGCTGGTCCACTGGGCTGACCTTCGCAGCCTGATGGGAAATTCTGAGGTGTTCCTGGGAAACTGAGGTGGGCGGGCTCAGTAAGCTGTCCCCAGGTTAATGAGCTCTGGGTCATGGACTTTCCAAAATTTGGGGAACTGAGACTCTCTCAGCAGGTCAGGCAGAAGGGAGGAGAGGTGAGGACAGCCTTGGGCAGGCCCTACTGGCTCCATTAGGGAACTAGGATGAAGCTGCAGGAGGTGGGACAGGGTCTAGGAAGGGACCCAGAGCAGGTCAGTAGGTTTAAGGGTTTTGAACACTAGGCTGAACACTTGACATACGCTATCTCATTGAATTCTCCCAGTAACCATTTTCCTGAGAAGAACATGGAGGCTTTGGAGGTGAGGTAACTTGTCCAATGTCACCTGGCTAATGATGGATGGGGGAGATGTGACTGCTTGACCCGATTTCAGAGTCCGAGCCCTTAGACTCTATCATAAATGGGAAGAGCTGGAATGAGGGGATTGGAGTAATTTGGGAAGTGGGAGTTCAGTTCGAGATCTAGGGCTATGGGGTCAGGTGTAGCCCAGGGCAAAATCAGGGGGTTCAGGACTCTGGTGAGTGAGGTGCCAGGGATGAGGACTAGGGTGGGTGATGGAGCAATGGATCCAGGAACAGCATGAGGATGACGAGCTGGGTGGGAGGCTGAGGTGGGGGTGGGCACTCTGGGTCAAGAGCTGGGCCAGGGCAGGCCTGGGGTGGGCACTCACCTGCCGAAGCTTGGCCATGGCCTCACTGGGGATGATCTCATTGTGGTGCAGCCGGGTGACAAAGCAGAGGGCCTGGAACTGACTCTGCCCCTTCTCCAGCTCCCCCAGGATCAGGGCCCGGAAGATCTTCACATCCTGAGGGAGAAGGGTGAGAGAGTGGGAGATAAGCTGGAGAGCGCAGGGCCTTCCCGCCAGCCCACCCGGTGCTCAACCTGGGCCCTGGAGGGGACGCCTGGACACTGCCTGGCAACAGACACCGCCCTCCTGCTGGTCCAGGAATTTCTATCTTTTCCACTTAAGCCCATGACTTAAAAGAAAGAACACACCCCAACTGTTCCAAAGCTTCCTGGAAAAAATGAACCACTGGAGAGTTTTTCAAAAGAGAACGCTTTAAAGGTACAGGGCTTCACCTTGAACTAAACAGCACCTGGTTTTGGCACCTGGATTATTCACAGCTGGTGACTCCCCTTGGTGGAGAATATCACCCTGATTAGGGAGGGTCTGGGTCCTTCCAGCCACCTGGCCAGGGCATCATGGGGGAGGGGCTGTACTTTTTCAAGTACAAATTCCAAGGCTCCTCTCTCTGACATTCTTATTCAGTAGGTTTGGGGAGAGGCCTCAAAGTTCTCCTGGTGCTTCTGCTCAGCCAGGCTCCTGGCCAGCCACTGAGTGGGGGAATGGGGACAGGATGGGGTTAAAGGCAGAGGCTGCAGACTGGCACAGCTGTTGCAACTGTCCAGCCTGAAGGAGGGGGGATGGCTCATCTCCC